AAATTAAAGAAACAAAAAATTAAAGAAGAAATATATATATTTTATTTAAAAAATGACAAGTTAATTTTAGGAAAATTTGCTCAGAGAAATAAAAAGTTTCATTTAAAAAATAATATATTAAATTTTCTCTAAAATTGTATTCCTTCTTTATATATCGTTATTTCATGAAAGATATTAAATATTTCTTTAAGATTTTGTTAAATTTGCAAAGTCAAATTCTTTTAATCACGAACGACTCAAACGTAATTTAAATATATATATATATGCTTTTATATTTCCTCGAGTGGAGAATAATTCATTTTGCGAGAGCCCGAATCAAGTTTCTAAAAAAAAGGGTGCCTAATGAGCTAGTCGGAGTCGCCGGATTCGATTCTAAGAGCGATTTTTATGTTGGTTCAGAGATTCTTACGGCAGGGCTATATAGAAAGAGAGGGAAGATGAGGGGATTCGCCTCTCGTCGTTTGTCGCTCATGGAATTTGGATGAATCTGTTATTCTCGTCCGGGGAAACCGTGCGAGGAATTTTGATCGTTTCAACTCCGGTCTGGCACACCGGGTGAGGAGACGTCCAGAAACGACGCTTGTTTTTTCGAGAAAACGCACCGCCGGGACAAAGACACGACTCGCCCCCTTCTTTATCTACGGGCATAAACACGCTGGACATGTGATCGCCAAATAAAAGTGCGTCTAAAAGCGTCGTTTAATCGCTATTTCTGGCGCCGGCGAAATCCGCGGGCTTAACATTCCACGCTATTTTGATCTTAATTTAGAACCCCCATAAACGCGGATTCACAAACAGTAAATCGAGTTGAAGTTTAATTATCCGCAGAATTGAATTAATTTATTAAAAGTTAATATAAGTTATTACAAGTTAAATAACATTAAATTGAATTTAATTTATACATAAAAAATAAGTCGATTTTTTCAATCAAATATTTTATTGTACAAAAAAACCTCTAAATGTTAAATTCTGTGCGAGAATATTTTGGAATTTCTATCTTTTTAAATTCTTTGTCTCCTGATTTTAATTCTGTATATGTTTACGAAAATTTTAATACACAAACCTACAGTTTAAGGAATTAATGGTCTAGCATTTAACATTTAAATGCAATGATTTGACGAATTTCTTTAAGTACTCAAAAAAATTGAATGTTAATTAAAGTTGAGAAAATAATATTTAATGTGTAATTTGCTGTGATTTTTCAAACAAGTGCACGGTTGCATTCCAGCCCACAGTTTTCGGTAGACTAATTTCTTCATATTTTGTCTGGAATAAATTCAAAATTGTTTGTGCTTCAAAACGGCGCTTGATTATAACGAAAAAAAAAAGTATCGAACTTACGGAATATGGCAGAGGGGGTCGCGAAATAGAAAACGGCAGGAAACGCAACGCGAACGGGCCAAAACAAAGGCAAGATCGAGAAGGCAGACGCGGAGATACGCATCTGCGAGCGTGGGATCGCGTGTACGCCGGCGTTGAAGTCTCCTCCTTCGCCTTCGTCGAAATCACCGCTTTGCGCGAGCGGGGGATATCTGGGACGCGCGCGCTGCGCCGCGTCGCGACGCATAATGACACCGACGCTTTTGTAATCCACGTGACTATCGTGCGCGACGTGGGCTATACAAAGTATTCTCCCGATTGACAGAGAGTCACCTTTAGATGGCCATTTTAACGTGCGCGCGTTTTAGGTGCATTGTGTCATACTTTCTAAGTTTTCCACGCTGTTAAAGGAGTGATAGAATTTAAATAGAATTCCTCTCTCATACATCACCAATAATAAGAGTAATTTCTCATTTTCAAATTTATCAAATTTAAATTCAGAAAATAGAGTTAACGCTTAACATCAGTCAGACATTGTAACATAAAAGTCATTACTAATTTTTTTTTATTAATAGTAGTGTGGCAATAAAATCTTATATCTAAAATGACACATTTATATTATTTTCTATTCAGTCAATATTTCAATTTTGATTATTTCTTTTGGAATAAAGCTATATAGATGAAAGAATTATCAAATATAGATTCATGAATGCAGAAACCAGCTTAACAAAATGATACCTACTAAAACTTATGGTAATAAAACGTAAATTATAAAACTAATTTCCAATACAAATGTAAATATATGAAATATTATTATATAATATAATATAATATATATATGTATGAAATATTATTACATAATATAATATATACGTAACTTATGTGTGACCGTTTCTTTTCCGATTACGCCGTCAATTATCGAATACTTTGCACGTCTCATTGAGCAGAATGAGAAGGCAAGGTGGATTATTAATAGTCCTTTTTGCCGGCGATGCCCGGAGGAAGACAGTGGAAGGACACGTGAGGTCATCGCCGTAAAATATACGTCGTACGACGAGGAGAACCCGTTGAATTTCTCTCCTTGACGATCCTAGTCCTCGATGATTGGCCGCGCAGGGAATAAAAAAAATTGATGCTCACAGAATTACCGCAGATTAAATCGATCGATCAAGCCCCCGTTTCATGGTAACAAAATATTTTTGAACGTTAACTGATTTTGAGCTTGATTTCGACGATTATCGATTACGCCGCCGATCTCTAGATAGCGATGTAACATCTCGGAAGTGAGAGATCAATCCATCGATCTTCGGAGAGAGAAATTTAGTTATCTCTCGTGCGCTTCTTCATATTGAAGATGTAATTTAGTATCAGCGCAAAGAAGAAATTACAATTCTACGTGAAAAAAAACGAAGAAATATCATTGTGGAAATACATTTTTATATTTTTTACGTGAAGCTTCGCCTATTTCGAGAGAATCGAGTTTGAGGATTGAAAAATTAACGATGCTGTTTCTTCGGTTGAGGCTTGTTTCGAGTAGCTGAGGGATACTTTAAATTATCGATCTCTTGGAGAACTTTAGTGGTAGGCACCCCGCATGCTCTTGGATTAAACGTTCGGCCTCTAAATTGTAGAACGAAGTTGTCACTGAATGACTTTCATCAGTTTCTAGACGCTCTTAAAATACACCATGGGCAGCAATGAGTCACCGCTTTCTATCGGAATGTTAATGGCGAATGCACATGTGTGTTCTGTGGATGGATGGGAGGAAAAAATCGATTTCTCACTCTCGTTTCTTTGCGGCTACCGCTTGCTTATTGATATTACGATACGAGCGCGAGAAGAACGTCCCCGCGAGACAGATTAAGTACGAGATTAATGAAAGGAGGCAAAGAGGGAGAGAGAAAGAGAGGAAAAGAGTAGTCGTACTCGCACAAAAACTTTAAATCTCGTAATTACGCTTATTTACTTCGTTGCGAAACGCACGGTCGAATTTTAAATCGTAAGCACGCACACACGCGTAAATAAATTCCTCTCGTGATGACGAAGCCGCTCGCTTAAACGAGACAAAATCTGCCCCTTCCATTTTGCTGATAAATTATCGATTTGTCGAGATAAATATTGCTCGATAAAAAAAAAACAGTCTCCTGTGGAGACTATTTTTAACTAAATTCCATTCGATAAATTCTAGGTTTTATTTCATCAAGTTATGTATTAAAAATTAAGTCTTACTGCATGATTTAATCTGTTATATTTTAAGTCTCGTCAAATAAAATGATCCTAAGCTTTTTTTAAACTAAAGTTCAGATCCTACATTCCAATGGAGAATTTTTCTCAGATTCTAAATATCATTAAATCGCATGTTAAATATTAATTTAATCCCTTCTACAATCTAACTTTTCTATATCCGGATTTTTCTCAAGTTTTAATTTGCGTTAAATTGTGGGTTGAGCAGCAATCAAACGGGGTATACTATTTTCAAATCTATTAAACATAGATTCTACACGACTCTGAATTATGCACAGTGTTGCAGTAATCTACACGTTGCACTTAGCCGCGGGTTTCGCGAAGTCTAATATTTTCCCCGCGCGCGCACTCAGCCTGCACGAGTGCAGGACAGGTTCCGACGACGACGACGGCAGGATACTCTGACATTTGCCAGGTTGATAGTCGAGTGGTTCACCTATAGCTAGGTGCACCTATCCGTTGCGTTATACACGGTGTCCCAGAAACACAGGATGAATTCTTTCGAGTACAGTCTCGCTACGGAAATTTAATGACGATCTTCGTATGCGCTTAACGGAAAGTTTATTGATGTCATTTAACGTGCTTGTCTAATTCTTGACATTCCATATCTTTGTAACTTTAAATTTTCTATTAAAACAAAGCCCATTTAAAATTAATCAAGCAGAGTGATTTCAAAATAAATTTCAAATGAATTATGCAAAATATGACGCGGAAAGCTGGAATTTTTATGCAGATTGCTTGCCGGAGGAAAAGAGAGAACGAAAGAAATGATCGTGTCACATTATGACTGAATAATATAGCTATTCATGAGTTTCTATAAAAAAAAATGATTGAGCAATTCATAAATCCACGGCTGGCTCAACGTTCACGAACAAAACCCAATTCTAAACCGATTGAAGAATCCGTAATAAGAAAGCCATCCTCTGTCGGTGGGCTCCTGGTATTACATCCTACTTAACACTCGCGGTCGAGAGATCAACGAGTCAACGTATTTCGCCAGAATTTCGAGCCGGTGCAAGCGGGACTGTAGAAGCAGGCTAAGGCCCCGGGATGGCAGTGGTACGATAATTACCGGCTGGAAAACGCGAGATGATGCATAACGCGGAGAAGTCGCAGGCAGTTAGCCGTGCGATTGCAGAAGCGAGCTTAGAGCCCGGCGTCGTAGCCGAGGGCAGGTTTGCAACCGCTGCCAGAGAGAAATTTCTACAGAGTTGCTGCGCCGTAGCGGTCGTTTCGACATAGGTGCAGGATCGAGGGGATCCTGCACGCCACAGCAGGTGCGAATAATGTCGGCTCATTTTGGTGCGCGTGCAAGTTTTTTTTTTAGATTTTCGAGTAATTTAAAAAAAAAACACATATGCACGTAACAGAAAAAATCAATGACATTTGTTCGCTACGTGTGAGAACGTAAGGGAGAAAATATGATGCAGACTCACCGCAAGATCTCTCTCGGCAAATGGACCGAATGCATCACCGGGCAAAGGTTCCCTGGAAAAAAAATACGATAAATGAGAAGTATTCTATCTGGTTGTGTATTGATAAATCAGTGAGAAAATAAATTATACAAGTAAAAAAGATTAGTAATGTTTTTCAGGTTTCTCAGAATGAAAAGTCATTTTTGTCACTCTTATCTCAATTAAATTCGATCTTTCTTAAATTTATCTCTTTCCTAAATTTTATATAATATATATTATTATTTCCTGATATTATTGTAAATATGTTACGAGATTTCTGGAACTTCGAGTTCCCCTTTTCTCGTCTTTATAAATCTCACAGCTCTGTCAGGAAATGACTTCATGCCGGTGAACAGACTCCACCGCGCCATGAAAAGACTCCTCGGCGTGCACGTGTAATTAAGGGTGTAATTAGAACACCGGATAAGAGCGGTTTAGACGATTACAAAGACGGACCACTGCGGAGGTTGAGGAAAATACATACTCGTCGTTGAGTATACTGACCTAGTATTCTCAAAAAGAACTAACCACTCAATATTTAGAAAAATATCAAAGTTTCCAAAATTTGAACAGAAAGTTGCAACAACAGAAAGTATAATACGACAAATATTTTAATTTTAAATATATAAAAAACATGCGCTCTGGATTCTTTAAGAAGATTATTAACAAGTTTTGCATTTTCTTGAATGTCGCATTATTTTTCGTGTCATCAGATCTGTCGTCTCTCGCAAAGCTTCACACATAATCGACGAATACGCCGAAGGGGACACATTCCTCGGAAAAATAACGCAACATTCGAGATGCAGGAACGCAAGAATGACTGTAAAATTAATATTTTTCTTAAAGAATTACTACTTATGCGTCTTTATTAGAATTCTTTTACTCGAAACTAAATTTCTTTCCGATCCCAGCTAAAATATTTTTCCGTTTAGCTACACCTTGTATAAAATATTATACGCCACGTCTGTATCTGTATATGCAACAACCATGTAGAATATTTTTGTCCCGCTGCATCTCGTGCTAATATCGCACTGCCGCGGCGGCGCAGCCGTCGAAGACGTGATTATCCGCGCAAAAAGACGCGGAACCACCGCGGAAAGCCCTCGTACTTCGTCTCGGTTGTCAGAGTTAATGCAAAATCGCGAACGTGCCGCGAATACGAACGGCACGTACACAAATACAGACGCCGCTGGATGCAACTTAATGACGATGTCGCCCCGCGTTACTACACGGTGTACTTATTAGCGCGAGGCGCGCGCTTAGGATTGTGCACATCTTAATTAGCATCGGCGATTAACGAGGTCGCCCGGACGATACCGTTTTGATGATGAGACAAAAACCGCGCGGCTCGCTTTTAAGTATTCTCGATCTCGGCCACGAAGTTTTTCAATTTACTTTATGAAACGGTAGATTAGAGCGCGTAACGATCCAATTTTTTTAAAGATATTCCAAGAATCGTAAAATACATATATTTATACTATCTCATTGAAACAATAATTAATTCTACTATATGTATTAAATTTAGAGAAATTTAAGATTTCTAAAATGTGACAATGTGCAGATTTGTGCTTGTTAGATTAGAATTATTTTTACGTTGCTATGATTTAAGGTTTTAAATGAAATACTCGAATTTCACTGAAGAATTTCAAAGTACGATGATACCTTAAGATAAAATGAGAGGTATTCGGTTTTTTACAGCCATATTGTATAACGTAAATTATTCTACTTAATCGCGCCAGCAGCAGCAGCAGCAGCAACGGCAGGGACCACAGAATCACGAGCTTTACTTATACCGCGTGGCCTTTGAACTCGCGTTTCGACAGCGCCGGCAGGCAAAAAGCCAAGCTAATGCATAACCAATCGAGCGGAATCGAGACACGGCGCGGCGGAGCCGTGCGATTAACGCGACTGTCGTGACACCGCTGTTGCGGATGTTGATAGCTCGACCGACGACGTGGTTTCCCCTGTCAATCAGATACGGTTATCATTATTGATAAACTTGTCCATCGGGCGTAGATTGAAAAAAAAACTCATTTTATCGAGCGCAACTCTTTTGTTCGATTAAATGATTTTTTTTGTCGAGAAGAGAAATTTCGACTTTTCATTACGAAAATGTCAAAGTGTGACTGCATAAATACCGTTATATGTTTTGTGAAATTTTATTTAGGAAAGATGTATTATTCTTTTTAACTTAATTATCGAATACATAGCTATACATTTTTTTTGTTGATTTTTAATACATTTTTTCAAAAGAAACGAAGACTTCAATCAGCATCAATCAATTCGTTTACCCAAACACTCGTGTCTCCCCGTGTTAGTTCGGATAATGGAGATTCCCATGTAATTTGGACGTAAACGTTAGAGTCCCGGGTGTTTTGACTTTCTCCGCGCGTCTGTCAAGTTTCGTTTCAGTCCCGCGGCGCGTATCGCCCGAGGGGGATGGGGGGGGGAGGGGAAGCGATTGATCGGTTGCGCAAAAATCGGCGTGTGTGTGTTTTCTGGACGAACTTCCGCTCGTCAAAGAAAACGGACTCGGCGCGGCTGACCCAGTTCGCGCGCGGCGCGGGGCCCGAACCGAACCGGGCCGGGCCCCCACGCGGCGCGGCCGCAAGGACGCCACGCCGCGCGAAAACGGGCGACGTGTTGCGCGACCGATGTATTGCTCCTTCGTCTGACAAACCCGGGAGGGTGGAGCGCTTTCGAAACAAACGACGGTAATTATCGGTTACAAAGTAATACCCGGCCGGTCGACTTGCATCGTCGTTAAGATCGACGCCTGTGACGCGATGCCTCTCCGTCTCTCGTCCGTACGCGAATGGCGCGCGCGAACGACGAGGAAAAAGACCGCGAGTTCTTCTCTTTCTCTCCGATGTTTAATTAAGAAGAGCCGTCATTACGCGCGCAGTCATTCGGCGGCCTTGTTAAATCTAACGATCATCGCGATATTGACTTAACGGAATCGAGAGAATGAAGCAATCGATATTATATCCACCGCGCTTTTCGTTCCCGAGAATCTGATAAAGTCATTTCCATCAGATGAAAAGAATAATCGTGAGACAAGAAGTTCCTTGATGCGGATGAGGATGATGTACGATTGCAGGATGGCATACAATCGTGTTAATATTTATATTGTTATTACGATACCATCATTACTGTTGTATCACGTTAATCGTTATCAAAGAATAAGAAAGGAATGGGAGTTAGGTAAATTTAAGACTTCCAGATCTTATATATATGTAGAGTAAAGCATTGAACGCATTTTCTGAGATCTAAGATTCTAATCTGAACTTAGCGGCGCATTAATTCGCCAAAATTAATAAACGCCAAGATAACAAATTGTGTGATCAAAGAAGAATGGTGAGAATTCAAAAATTAAGTGTTAGGATATGCTAAGATTTAAAGAAGAGAAAGCGTGGAGGCGCGTCTCTCGAGATCTAACAATCCATTAAGTACCAAATTGCTAAATTTTGCACACCAGATGTGACAAATAACATGATTGAAGAGCGAGGAAGCAATAAACAAATGTCAGCCTCGGAGATGCTAGACGTAAGGAAGAGGAAACGGCGGCCGTACGCGTCTCGAGATCAAAGAATCTTAAATCGATCTCCAGTCTATTAACTCGTGAATTAATGAGTTTTACGCGGAACGAAGCAAATTGCATAATTAGGGAATAAGAAAAAGCAACGAATACAGTAATTGAATATTCCGGGAAAGAGTCGGGATCGCGGCTGACGTTTTGGAAAACAGACCTCCGATCAACGGATAGTGGATCAGCAGCCGAGCACATTAGACGCACACGGCACTTGACAAGCCGAGGCCCAACCGACGATTAATGACATCGGCGTTCTCGCGGTAGCGCCGATTTGGATCGCCTCTAACGATCGGTCACTGTAAATAGGTTGAAGGCGTACCCGGGGGCTACCCGACGGCGTCGGCATCGAGGTCGCGTTCCAGCGCGTTAAAGTCTCCGCACGAGCCGTCGACTGCGTTTCACAGATACGTATAGACGGACAGGATACGCGCGTATTTCGTGTTCCTCGCGGCGCAGAAATTCTCAAGGCGCGCGCGCACGCAATTTCTGTCACTCAACCGAAGCGATCTTAAGATCGGTGGATCGCTTTAATTTCATTGTGTTGTAAGATACACAAGAGAGAAAGAGAGAGAGAGAAAGAGATCACCGGGAGATACCAAACGTTCCGTGGCGAAATAACTGTCCAGTTTCGTCAGCTGCGTCGAGAGCGATCGATCGGTAAATGGAATTTATGGTGGGAACGACTGTAAAGAGTGAGAAAGAGAAGAAATACAAAAGGAAGAAAATTACATTATTTTTAAAGCTTGGGACAATTCCATTAGTTTCGTATCTGTCGCGTGCAAAACGATACCAAAAGTGTTAGTTCTGAATGCAAATTTATGAGCAAAAAATTGAAGACTCCTATTAAAAGGAAAATATATTATTTCCTTTGTATTGAAAAGATTCGCGCTGTATAAATGCAACTTATTTGCTACTTCGAATTCAAAGTAGCTTTCTTGTAACTGACGGCTTGTAGAACTGTTTTATAAGAAATAAAAGTATAAATTTTCTCGGTTTGTTATTTCTCGCAAAACAAGTCGCAAGTCTTTCGTGGAGCGATTCCAAATTTTAAACGGCGTGTAATTTCGCGATGGCTCGCCCCGAAGGAGAGTGCAGGTAGGCGGTAGCTCCTTTAAGCAGGCGGATGGCTGCCAAGCCCTCTATGACGCCAAGAGAGCACGCGGTTGTCTCGTTGTTGGGGCAACAACGCGCGCGCGATCCGGGCACGGCAAGACAGACTCTCTAGCTGCTATGAGAGCACGGGCCCCCCTCGCGCGTACGGGGGACGACAGGCAGGCAGGCAAGCAAGCAAGCAAGCAAGCAAGCAAGCAGGCAGGCAGGCAAGCAGCTCGGGGCGATGTAGGCGTGCGGATACTTCCATCCAGCCTCTCTCGCGTCAGTCTGAGTCGGTCGGTTTGATGGTGGTAACGCCAGCGAGCCGACCAACACAAGCAACCTGGTTG